AGTAGGTTTTAGTTTTAAATAACACACAATCCGTAAAAACAATCAATGCTTACACAAATACACAATGAATATAAGGAAAAGAAAAGTATAAGAAATCATGTATAAATTACCTAGACATGGCTGTGCAAATACTTTAAATATGGCTAGTTGCCCCCAAATAAATGCATCAGAACAAATTATACTTTATTTGACTTAGTCAAACTATTTTTCTCATCTTTTGTTATAGAGTTTATTTTTAAATCAACCTGTTTCAGCAAAGTACCCTTTGGCCATCTTCAGGCTTATATTGGTTAATGGGCAATATCTTGCATGAATGATTTTTGTTCCTGGTTTTTTTTTTTTTCCTCTTGTTTAACATATTCAAAAATAATGAATACCTAAATTGTACTGGTTGGGTCTAGTTGTGCTGGTCTTAACAAGATTTTATTAATTAAAGAAGCTGGGAGTTGAGTTGTGGGTACACATTCCTATCTATCTTCAATTAGTCTCGACTTACTTTGGTCTGGGTGGATGTGAGCTGAGATCTATGACTTCCTAATTCAAGCTCTGTTAAAGAGGAATGCTTTGCCAGTTAATAGCAGACCACACTACAAGGATGAATACGGACACTTCTCAGTGTTTTCATTTTCTAAAGTCTAGTAGCAGATGAATAAACCAAAATTATTCTTTCAACCGTTTTTGTTGTCTTTGACTTTTCGACAACAGGGCCACTTTTTGATGTCATGTTTCCTGCATCCAGCAATAACAATCAAATCAGGCGATGGCCAAATGCACAACATGTCATTGGGGAGTGGCTAAGTGGTGGGGAGGAAGAATTTTGTACATCTGAAGAAGTCTGTAGAATAAATCTGCCAAATCATTGTGGTAATAACAAAAAGGAGTTGAATTATCCAAAGTGAGAAACATGCCCTGAGAAACTTATTTTGTAGTAACAACACAATGGGTCACTGCTAAATTGATTACGAGACACACGTACTCAAATAGACTGTAATTTATTTTGTTTGGGATTGGAGTGATCACCTGATTTTATTCAGATCAAGATTTCAATTTCAAAGCAACCAGCTATTGTAGAGAGAAAAATAAAAACTTGGGATCAAGTGCCACTCAGCTGGAAGGCAGAGAATTCTATTCATGAGCTTATATAATCAGGCTGCATTCTAGTCAGAGGCCAGTCACAAACTTTCTATAGAGATGGGTAAATGGAAAGTGTTGGCAGTCCGAGTCATAGGAGGGAGAGAGAGAGTTATAGTGAGAAGCAAGAGTTCTGACTGGCCAAATGGAAGATCTAGTGCATTAGTCTGTCATAAGAAAAAAAAAATATGTAAATAGCAGTAAAGATATCCCAAATGGCACTTTCCACCCACAGAGCTTGCAAGGTAAATCTAGGAATGAAGAATATATTGAAAACTAGATTCAGGTTTTCTTACCTGTTTATGGTGATATTTCACCTTCCATAACAAATTAAGTAGAAAAGAAAAGTGAACATAGAATAGGCTGCACCATGAGTAGTTTCACCAAACACCACAAAAACAAAACCTCATCCTGAAAACTGTCAGTTCGAAACTTTCAAATGCATGCCATGCATGGTGCCAGATCCATTCAGAAATATCTAAATTATCAATGGTTAAAAGTGTCTTTGAACGAGTGAAACCTGATGATCTTAGCAAAAACCATCTAAGAAACATTGTGGACTGGAGCTACAGAATCACAAAGAACCATACCAAATAGTAGAAACCATATAACGTGAAGACTAGCAACAGCTAAAATGGATAGTACATATAACTCAAAGACAAAATAATGACATAATCCAAGATGTTGATATTACAAAAGGTTAGAAAGGAAACCACAATCAATAGTGGAACAAGTGGTAACAGTTATTGAACATAAACCTATTATCCTGAAAAATAATTTGAAAAGAAAAATTGTGTCTATATTTCTGAGGTATTGTAACTATTTACTTTGTTCGGATTGTTTGTAGTCTACATCTTTCACATATTCATGTTTTGGCTATTGTATTCTCCAACCTTTTTCAGCTGATATACATCGAAATTTCAAACCAACACTTATCCACTGAGCTATGTATCCTCAAGGTTAAGTAATCCAAAAAGTGATTTGACCTAGTTTGTGAGTGGGACACAGCAGAGGGAACAAAAGCTTTGAGATGAGTTACTAATGGAAATTAATTGATACCAAGATATCCAAAAAAGGTATGGCACATGGAATTACATAAATCTATCCCCATGGTCTAAATAAAAGATTCGGTTTGAAATTCTAGTGTATATCACCTGAAGAAGGTCAGAGCCTACAATGGCTGAATCTTTATTTATAAGGCAATAAAGATGAGAACAGTTTAAATGATGTAAATCATGTAAATATTTTATATACTTCAACCGAAATCAGTACAGGCTGCTCAGTCAATGAATGTTAGATGTTCTCTTATAGGGAAACAGTTATGACCATTACCATTCCTTTATTGAATGTCTACTAAGTCTTTGCAAGTTTTTGTTTACACCAAAGCAAACTGGAATTGACCAGTGTATGTATGTAGAAGAAACTGACCAATCAGGAAATAAGTAGCTAATGAGCATGACCATATGTTTACAGTAACAAAAATCCTTAGTAGGCTTATATACCTAGCAAGATTATCACTATGCTTTTCACCAATATTTTTTTCTTACACATCTTTTGTTTTTTTTAAAAGAAAAACAACAAAAAGAAAACAAGAAAAACAAATAAATTTGTACAAATTCAACAAAATAACTATAAATGCATCTGAAATGTGAGGACAGAAAAAAAAGTGACAACTTTTCCCTGTTGTGTTAATTTTATTACTTAAGAAAAAATAGATATATATATGTAGATGGAGATATATATTTATAAATACATATATATATACATCTATGTATTTAAGCAAAAGATATGTTCACATCCAAGAATACATACGTGTGTATGTGTATACACCTAAAAAGAAACTCCGGAGCAGACAAAATACTAGCAATGACCGTTGTGCTAAGAATGGCAACCACATAAATTTAACAATAGTCCTTGTTTCCTTATTAAATAGGAAGCAACCCCTGTGAGTGGGTAAAGAATTCTGTTCCCTTTCTGGGTAACAATTCAAACAGAGGATATGGGAAGCCAAATAGAGACCCAGTAATTCTTAGCATCCCACTTGGTGGTAAAGACTGATTTGGAGCAATCAAAAAACAATCTGTTTAAAAAGAAAAAAATAAAAATAAAAATAAAAATAAAATAAGATGGGGGTGGGGGACAAAAAGATTTAGCTTGAGGAAACGGAGACATATCTTGAGAAACAGGTGGTAGAATTCCTCTTAAGTGGCATGCTTTTCAATTGACTCCCATGAAAGAGTTATCAAGAAGTTTCAGTATGTTCAACCATAAACTGAATTATCATTAAAAGCGTCCACTTTTAAACCATTTGATGTTTTTAATGATAATTCTGATTATGGTGTAACATTTTAAAATTTATTAAATGATCCTCTTTGATGAGAGCTGATCAAAAAGCTGTCTGATTAAAGAGAACAGATCTCCACTTTTTCAAGTGATATTTAAGCTTTTTACTATTAATTGTTAAAAAAAAAACAAAAAAAAAAAAAAAACTATTTCACGATAAGGAAAAAATTTTTCATTATATTTTTCCATGTAATTATAATCCATAAGATTTTATATTTTTTTCAAAAATTAAACATTTTTTTTATTTTTATGAAGGACTTTTATTATAATTATTTTAAAACTAGTTTTTCTCCATCTTAATATAGAATTTTTTTAGTGTTGGGCGAGGGGTACGAAAATAATGATGATGGCAGCATTTTTGCAGGGTGCTAATCAACTCAACAGTAGGATTCGTCTGTAATGCATTTAAATGCTCAAAAGCTTAACAAAGACATCCATCTTTAACACTGGTTTACTTATAGCATGAAGTCAGACTTTTTTTTTTTTTTAAAGACTCAAAAAGAGAAAAATATATTAAAACAGCAAAATTTAATTTCATCTTACCTTTTTTAAAAAGACAAAAATGAAAATTAGAAATTTAAAAAACTTTCTTCAGAATCTCAATTTTAAATTTCATTCTTTATTATAACAAAGTTTATTGCATTTTTTTTTTTTAATGTTCAACAAAAACAATTTTTTTTTAAAGCTTAATATTAAAATCTACACAAAATAACCACTGATAATTCTGACAAATTTATTCAAAACAATGCATTATTTATTGTAAAAGCAATCAAGTTTTGATCAATGAACTTTCTTATTCGCCTTTTTTTTATATATATATATATATATATATATATATATATATATATTTTAATATTTTTTCTTGACTATTTTACTTGGCTTAGCAATTTTATATGCAGTGCACTGACCACACTAAAAAATGGTTAAAAATAAACATTAATGAAACTAATATAATTATATCAGAAATTATGATAAATGAAGTAACAAGATACTGTTATTATCATTATTAATTATATTTTTATTATTAATACAAATATTATTATTAATAATGATAATATGAAAATAATAATAATTATGAAATATATTTTTAAAAAAAAAAAAACTAAAAGAAAAAAAAAAAAATCACAAAACTGCATAGTGGATGGACTTTATCAATCTATTCCCTCTCGATTTACTTTTTAGCGAAAATTACGGGTGAGGAAGAAGGGTGTTAAAAGGAGGAAGGGGGTCCAGGTTTTGCTTTTACATTTTGTATTTTGTCTTTATTTTATTTTTGTCATTTTTCTCTTAAGCAAAAAATTTTTTTTATTTATTCCAAAAATTGGGTTAAAAGAAAGTAGGGCATTATGAAAAAAAAAAAAAAAAAAAAAAAATTATATATATATATATATATATATATATATATATATATATATATATATATATATATATATATATATATATGATTGATAGATAGATGATGGACTCCCTTCCCTATGAAGCCATATCCCCAGTCCGTTGTTTTCGTTTCATTATAACTTCAGGGTCTATTGTTTTCTGTCATAAACCTGTCCCAACATTGCAAAAAAGTCAATGAACATGGTTGTGAAGTTGATCCGCCAGCCCAACTCACTAGTCTTGTAATCCTGGGGGAAAGTGTGGTGATAATTATGGAAACCTTCACCCATACTGCCAATGCTGACCCCAATGTTCTCAGCTGGGTTGATCCGTTTGTCATAAGGTCGGTTACCCCACATGTGGGCAGCACTGTTAACCAGCCAAGTTGCATTCAGGCCACAACAATAGCGCAAGATTCCAGCAAGAAAGTAAGCATTCCACAGACTTTCATCCCAACACAAATTAGGAACAATTGTTGGGATGATGAAGCAGAAGAGAAGAACAGATGGGATATAATATCTGGAATGAGAAAAAGAAGTTATCAAACTTTGTTTTAGAATTATTTCACTCAAACAATTTGTTAAAATGAAATAAAATAAAATGCAAATACCCCCCCAACAAAAAAAAGAAACCAAACAAACCTTTGTCAAACCAGTATTTTACATACATTTTTCTTTCACAGTAACTATTTATAACACAAGCACCTTCTTCACTCGCAGCTCTGGGTACATTAATATTATCCTTTAGCAGGATGTAAACATCTAGCAGATAGTGTAATGGTTATTGGCTCAACATGAGAAATCTGCAAGCTAAATTCCAGTCAAGAAAGACAATTCTGAATTTAAAACTGAGTCACCTGCACCTGTATATAGTATTAAACATGGAGCGCAGATACTACGCCAGTAAAACAAAAATCACAATAGATAATCCCAAAGCTCCGACCCCGAATCCATCATAAAAATTCAGGACATGAAATCAGTAAATACTTCTGATACCTTGATGTATAGATCAGTTATAAGAAATTAAATACAGGAGAAAAATAATTTATTTACATTGATCGAACTGTTGTACTCATCTTTATTGACATATTCACGTTTCGGCCAGTGTACACTCTGGCCTTCTTCAGGTGATAATAGATGGAATTTCGAACTGGAACCATTATTTAGTCCATGGGTGTAGATGGTTCTAATTTCACATATTGTGCTTTTGAATATCTCAGTTTTAGTTAATTCCAACTAATATAACATCTGAAACGTTGTGAATATGGCAATAAACATGAGGAAAACTGTCTGATCGATGTAAATAGTTACAATACCTAATCTCATAAATATAGATAGAAAAATAAATTTAATATAGAATAGGTTGTGCCAGAGGTAGTTTTACCCAACACCCCACAAGTAGCCTCATTATATCGACTTTCCAAATCCATTCAGAAATATCTACCGTGTCAGCTGTATGCACCAGTTTAAGATTAATGGTGAAAAAAAGGTTTTGAGCAAGTCAAAGGTCATCCTTCTTGCAACATTGTGAATCTGTAGCATTAGTCCACAAAGAACTATACTAAATAACAGAAACCACATCAGTTGAAGACTATCAAAAGCAGCAACAACTAACATGGGTAGCACATTAATCAAGATGTTAACATCCCACACTAATCCAAATAAAAGGTTAGGAAGGACACCCCCCCCCCCCAATCAAAAGTGAAAAAAGCCATAACAGCTACTGGACTTGAGAAATTATTTTAAGAGAAAGATTTTATAAATTTCAACTGAAAGCCATACTGGAAGTTTGGTCATTGAATGCCAAATGTTTGCTCATAGAGAAACGGCTAACATTGCCATTACCATTAGAAAGAGATTGTTCAGAATGCTGTTGATGCCAATGGACATTGGAGCCAAGGAAGATGGAAACTCCTAACCAAAACTGAAAAAACAAGACAAAGGCCATTCTACCAAGCAAGAATCTAAGTTTCACTTGTCTAAAACAATCCAATTGCATAGATATAAATTTCTTTGTTATAAATATAAGACAGAGAAAGGGAGACGTGTCATATTTTATCAGATTTCCTTGATAGAATTCATTGAGGAAGAGAATGCTGGTGTTGAAAAAATCCTACTTACTTTCTTTGAAACCGTACGACAGGATCGTTGAGCAAATCAGTTGTGTCTAATAATTTGCCTTTGGCTCTCACATTAGGATGTTTCCGGACAAGCAACCAACCAATATGGGAGAAGAAGAAGCCACGTTTGGCATTGTGGGGGTCGGCATCTGTTTCTGAATATTTATGATGAACCCTGTGATCTCGGCTCCATTCAAAAATGGAATTCTACAACAGCAAAGAACTAAAAATTAAAAGTACACACAAATAAAAGAAAGCGATCAAAAACACGGTGCATTACAAAGTTGCATACATATTTAAAACTGTAACAATACAGTATATTTCGTAGTATCAGTGCTCTCATCCCCACCCATCATTTGTCTTTTAAGCTTGTTGTTCCTTTATAAAAAAAACAATGCTGATAACAGTTCTTTCCTAATGTAAATGTCAAGTCAGCAGCTGCCAAAACTTTGCATGCACACATGCATTGAAATGTGTGTGTATATATATATATATATATATATACACACACACACACACATTTTAATGCATGTCAAAGCAGGCGAGAGAGAGAGAGAGAGAGAGTCAAAGCGGGCGAGAGAGAGAGAGAGAGAGAGTCAAAGCGGGCGAGAGAGAGAGAGTCAAAGTACAGAGAGAGAGAGAGTCAGAGAGAGAGAGTCAAAGAGAGAGAGAGAGAGAGTCAAAGAGAGAGAGAGAGAGAGAGAGAGAGAGTCAGAGTCAAAGAGAGGAGAGAGAGAGAGAGAGAGAGAGAGAGAGAGTCAAGCGAGGAGAGAGAGAGAGTCAAAGAGAGAGAGAGAAAGAGAGAGAGAGAGTCAAAGAGTCAAAGAGAGAGAGAGAGAGAGAGAGTCAAAGCGAGAGAGAGCCAAAGGAGAGAGAGAGAGTCAAAGCACAACAGAGAGAGAGAGAGTCAAAGCACAACAGAGAGAGAGAGAGAGTCAAAGCACAACAGAGAGAGAGAGAGTCAAAGCACAACAGAGAGAGAGAGAGTCAAAGCACAACAGAGAGAGAGAGAGTCAAAGCACAACAGAGAGAGAGAGAGTCAAAGCACAACAGAGAGAGAGGGTCAAAGCAACACAGAGAGAGAGAGTCAGAGAGAGAGAGAGAGTCAAAGCACAACAGAGAGAGAGAGAGTCAAAGCACAACAGAGAGAGAGAGAAAGCACAACAGAGAGAGAGAGAGAGTCAAAGCACAACAGAGAGAGAGAGAGAAAGCACAACAGAGAGAGAGAGTCAAAGCACAACAGAGAGAGAGAGAGAGTCAAAGCACAACAGAGAGAGAGAGAGTCAAAGCACAAAGAGAGAGAGAGAGAGAGTCATAAAAGAGAGAGAGAGAGTAAGTCCTAATGGAGTTATTTATATAAAGTGCTCTGGACACCAACCCAGGTATTTCTACATATATCAACAAAGCACTCAAAAAAGCCTGGTGGGGAACAAGTCTAGCTGTTGATAACCCTAGACAGAGAGCAAGTATTACTGGATTACATAGTTAACAGTAAAACTGATAAATGACTTGACTAATATATTGATAGTTGTTATTAAATATGTTAAGAGATATCTTTTTAGCAAAAAAAAGTTCTGTTACCTTCTATCACCTGATGGGTGGAAACCAAGTACTTAACCAGCAGTGCTTTATTTCTACAAACCTAAATGAAACATCAGAAATTTTATTTGTTCAGTTAATTTCACAAACTTAGAGTTTAGTATATATATATATATATATATATATATATATATATATATATATATATGAAGAAATATAGTCAAATATTTTCATAAAGTTTATCAGAGATATGTTAAAGAGAGAGAAACCAAGTCAACAAAGTAAAACTAGATTGGAAGATTGAATGTTTTAGATTTGTTCAGTATCCTAATGATGTTGTGACTGTATCTTTTTGCAACAGAGAGAGAGATTCAGTCATCATCATCAAACGCATAAATTGGCCCATAGTATATATATTTACATTTTCATTTTTTATTTTTTTTTTTTTCGTTTTTTTCCGTTTTTTTAAATTTTATTTTTTCCTCCCTCCCTCCTCCTACCGAAAAGAGAGAGAGAGTTTAAGAGAATCGATTAAAAAAAGTAAAACTAAAAAAATGGAAGAGAGAGAGAGAGATATATTGTCAAAGTGGAATTGTTTTTTTCATTCATCTCCTCTTTTGAAATCAGAGAGAGAGAGAGATCAGCAGTCATCACAAGGCAGAGAGAGAGTTTTTTTCTTCCTCCCTCCGATACCGCATTTTGTCCCAGTGATGCATTTGATAATTTAGAGAGATCCGAATGTGTTAAAAAACTAAAACACAACAAGAGAGAGAGAGGTCAAAGCACAAAGTGGAATTGTTTTTTCAGAAATCTTATTGAAAGCATATCTCCCTTAGAGAGATTCCTCCCCACCAGGTCGACGTCAAAGCACAACAGAGAGAGAGAGAGTCAAATTTACATTTTTCATTTTTTTTTTTTTTTATTTTTTTTTTTCTTTTTTCCGTTTTTTAAATTTTTTTTATTTTTCCTTCCCCTCCTCCTCCCCTACCAAAGGCACAGTGATGCTACTTTATTTGATAATTTAGAGAGAGAAATGTTAGTGGAAGATTGAATGTCAAAGCACAACCAGAGAGAGAGAGATATATTGTCAAAGCATTCAACAGAGAGAGAGAGTCAAAGCACAACAGAGAGAGAGAGAGTCAAAGCACAACAGAGAGAGAGAGTCAAAGCACAACAGAGAGAGAGAGAGAGTCTCTTCAAAATGTTAACAACAGAGAGAGAGAGATAGAGTCAAAGCACAACAGAGAGAGAGAGAGTCAAGCACAACAGAGAGAGAGAGAGTCAAAGCCTAAAACAGAGAGAGAGAGAGTCAAAGTAACAAAGTCTGAAACTTCCTCACTGCAACAGAGAGAGAGAGCACGGTTTGTGTTATCTGATCTCCCCCTGGCCAGAGAGTCCTCTCTTGGATGGATATGACCAGTCATACATGTGTCGTCTCTTCTCTCCTCAATGGGGTTCCCGAGCACAACAGAGAGAGAGAGAGTCAAAGCACAACAGAGAGAGAGAGTCAAAGTCACAACAGAGAGAGAGAGAGTCAAAGCACAAACAGAGAGAGAGAGAAACCATGCAGTATCAAACATCAAACAGAGAGAGAGAGAGTCAAATTTCCTCCGCGATGTCCCCTCAGAAAAGTCACAACAGAGAGAGAGAGAGTCAAAGCACAACAGAGAGAGAGAGAGTCAAAGCACAACAGAGAGAGAGAGAGATTATGTCAAAGCACAACAGAGAGAAAGAGAATCAAACAGATTATTAACAGAGAAAGAGAATCAAATCAGTAACTCCTTCTGGTGGAGTTAAAGAACTACCACTTAGTGCCTGGACACCAACCCAGGTATTTCTACATCACCCTGCTTGCACTAAAAAAGCCTGGTGGGGGAACAAGTCTAGTTGCTGATAACCCTACCACAGAGCAAGTACTACTGGATTACATAGTACCAGTAGCACTGTGTGACTTGACTAATATATTGATAGTTGTTATTAAATATGTTAAGAGATATCTGTTAAAAAGTTCTGTTACCTTACACCTGATGGGTGGATTAACCTGTGTGAAACCAAGTCAGAAGTTATTGAAATTTTTATTTGTTCAGTGTTAATGCTTTATTTCTACAAACCTTAAATGCATCATCATCCAATAATTTAGTAGTTGACAAGTTGTGTGTGTGTGTGTGTATATATATATATATATATATATATATATAAAAGAAATATAGTCTTAAGATGTGCTATATTTATGGGATAAAGTGCCTCAATATCAGAGATAGTGTGTGTAAATATAAAAGTGAACATAGAAGTCAACACTCAGAGGTGAGTGTTTCATGTTAGACGCAATCATCGTGGCCTGACGATTGCATCCAGCATGAAACAGACTGTCGCCTCTAAGTGGCTTGACTTCTATGTTCACTTTATATATAAAAAAAAAAAAAAAAAAAAGTATATATATATATATATATATATATATATTTGTGTATTTAGGCAGCAATCCTTCTTTCATACACATTTCATTGAATATGACAGACAAGGTGCTTTTATTTAGTTTTTTTATATAATTTCTCATGCGATCTAATTTTTTTTCTTTTCAGATGATAAATTATATTAAAACCGTCTGAATGTTCTTTTTATCCGAGATTAGAAACATAAGCAATAACATTAATATTTTTTATAAAAATCAGATGAACAAAAATTGTAAACAGGATGAATGCAGAATTAAGAACATTATAAAACAATGCAGCTACCAGTTGACAATAGCAAAAAAATTAGATTAATTATTTATTACAAAAGATTTAAAACACAATAATTCACTTCCGAGAACAAAATTAAACAGGGCAAATATTATTTACGAATTTAAATGCCCATTAAGAAATTGTATTCCTGATAAGTCAAAATTCGTAAATAATTTTATAGGCCACACTACAACATGTTTGACACGCAAAATCATTACACCTTTCTGGCCATAGCTCAATTAGATCTCATTTAAATATTCATGGAGACATACCGGACACTATTCGTAACATACTTGTTGACAACACTAATATAATAGCATCACCTACATGTAAAAAACTAATGGAAGACTTATTAATAGAAACAAAAAAAAAAAAAAAAAACAACACTTGATAATATTAACTCTGAACATGGACACAATATCTTGACTGTGTTTTGAAAAATGATAACATTTTATAAAACATACATGCAACAAACTATTTCTTATTTAACAGTTAAAATATTTAATCCATGAAAATGGCTAAATGTTTAGCCAAAAGCGCTTGGATAAAAAGAACATTCGGACAGTTTTTATATAATTTATCATCCAAAATGAAAAAAATTTTTACATCACATGAGAAATTGCATAAAAAAAACTAAATAAAAACACCTTGTCTGGCATATTCAATGAAATGTGCATATACATATATATGTGTTTGTGTGAGAGAAGCCACATCAAAAAATAACACAGGATGAAGTGGACAGAAGAGTGAAACCTTTCCATCACAAAAATGAAAAAAAGAACTCAGAGTCATTGGAAAAAAAAAAAAGAATGGAATGAATTATCAAACTTATACTTTGAGAGCAAAATTTAATCATAAAATGCATTTTTTTGTTTTGCCATAATAAAATTTCTAATAAAAAAATCATATCACTTTTTTTTAATCATGTATAATAATTTTATCTCATTTAAAGTACAAAACAATTACTTTTTAAATAATTTTAAAAAAACAGGGGGCCATATATATATATATATATATATATATATATATATATATATATATATATATATATATAAATTAATTGATTGAAAATGTGTTTTTTGGGGTTTTTTTTTTCACTACACAGTAATAACCACATTTCAAAAATGGAAGCTAAAAACTTTAAATTTATTATATAATTAAATTAAAAGCATTACTTCCATTTCATCTTCAAGCGAATATTGGAATAACTTATTTTTAAATTTACTGAGTTTTAAATGCACATATAAATTCATAATTTACCGTTTCCATAGATACAGAGAAATTCAATCATTCAGACAGGGGCTGTAGTGTGTTCATATTTATTAACTATTGTTGTATCAATTATGAGTTACATTCGAAAAAGAAGTTAAGTTTAGGGAGGGTAGGGGTGTATTTTTCAACAAATTCTGACATCCGTTAAATGCATGTTGTCTGGGTTTTTTTTATATTAACGGCAAAATGTTTTTCGGCATTTTTTTTCTTGTATACTTAAAGATTCTTTTTTACGTTTTATTTAACTACAATTTTAAAATATTTTTACTCTTAATTACTAATAGACTATATTTCTTTTTAAAACAAGTAAATGTAATAGAATTACTTACATTATTTAAAATTGTTTTTTTTTGTTTTTTTTTAATCAAATATAATTATGTATATTACCAGCTCCCATTTTTAATTTTAATTTTAAAATATTATTTAAGGAAAATTTTTGACAATGATGGCAAAAAATAGCTATTTCATTTCTCTGATTCAGTAAATTTTTATTTTTTATAAACTTAGTAATATATAGTTTCACATGTATGCACAAAGGACATGGGTCATTTAATGACCTACATATTCTAGCTTTTCTTATTAATTTCCATTTTACTATAGGTGTTTTATTTGATTCTTTTAAGTGCCAGAAATATTTTAAAAGCGATGTCTGATTTCTGTATTTATTTATCCTAAATGAAGTTTGGTATTGATTGAACTGCTTTTTGAACTCATGGCTTGTGCAACCTATATAGTTTTTATGTTTTCAGGATTCTCAATGAGATATTGCATTGGTATACTAATGATTCCGTGCAACATTTATTTTGTAGAGGACAGTTATGAGGATTTCTATAGTTACATAATTTTTGTTTTTCTTCATCTCTTTTTATTTTTATATTGTCTAAATGTCTTTGTTTTTTGTCTAAGTGTTTATTGAAGATATTAGCATTATGTTTCTTAATTTTTTCTAAATTAAATTTATATATATATATATATATATATATATATATATATATATGGTTATTACTGTGTAGTGAAAAAAAATATTTTCAATCAGTTAATTTATAATATTTATGCTCTGTACATTTACGTTGAGCACTGTTTTGTAAAATAAAAAATATCAATAAGAACACGGATTATATATCTTACTGTTCTTTATATATATATATATATATATATATATATATATATATATATATATATATATATATATAGATAGATAACACACACGTGTGTGATAAAAATAAAATTTTAAGGTAGGTTATAGTTATAAGTAAAAGTGTTCAATATCAAGGCAAATGTAAGAGCAAAATTGGGTACTGGAGTCAACACCAAACCACAACACTTATGCTTCAATACTATCTTCAGGCCATGTGTTTTTTTTTGTTCAACTATTTATATATGCTGGTCAGTGATGCATTAAGGTCTTATTTTCGCAATGGTTAGTTTTCAAATTATTCTATAGGCTATTGAATAGGAATAATTGTGTATCTGAATGCAATTATTTGTAGTTATTGTATAGTGTTAACTTTTTACTCGTTATAGCCACTAGGATAATACAATAGACCTTATTGCCCAAAATGCCTCACTGACTAGCATATATAGTCAAGTCAAATTAAAACACTCACTGAAGCATGAAAGACTGTAGATGCTTGATGTTGACCTCTGTGCCCAAGTTTTTATATATATATATATATATATAAAATGGTATATTTGGGAAGCAATCCCTCTTTTATACAAGTTTCATTAAATACGACTGACATGAAACTGAACTGCACGTGTGTGTGTGTGTGTGTGTGTGTATATATATATATATATATATATATATATATATATATATGGTGTATCAAAAATACTTTTACACACATTGAGAGCAGGTTCCTCACACTAAAACAAGAATGTTTATATAAACATACATCTGCAAATCCTTCATTTTAAGTTTAAAGTTTACAGTAAATGCTGTTAAATGTACAATCCAAAAATACTTATTGCCATAGTTTGTGGTTCCACGGATCCTATCTTAGCAACATGACGATAAACAGCAGCAAGAATTGGATGACTCAGCTGTCTTCAGCCTAGCAATCTGATACAGCCATGCAGCTGTGTGGAAAATGTTCATAAGAATATCCTGTCATTATTAAACAGAACACTTTTCAGTTAACTTACTACAACACACAAACTGTTGAAGACAGACTAGCTACAAATGACAAATGTAAGCTAGTCTACATGGCAACACAACACCATCTACCATAATCTATCTTTAAACTTAACTAAAATGAAGGATTTGCAGACATATGTTTATATGGACTTTTCTTCGTTTTGTTGTGGGGAAGCCACACAAAAAATTTGTAAAAGTATTTTTGGTTCCCTGTTGTTGTAAAATTATTTAAAATAAAATGCTTATATATGCAAAAAACAAATATACAAATAATAAACACACAAAAAAAAAAAAAAAAAAAATTAATTAAGTGACAATAAAAAAAAAAAAACCTTGAAATTTCATATCAGGAATTTCATACCTGGAATGCTGTTGACTGCATGGAAGCCAGAAGGGCTCTCATCGGTAATTTGGCTTTGTATGCTCTGTGAGCCCATAAACGGTGTGCACCAGCTGTGATCCCAATACCAGCATAGATATACACACCCAGAGCTATAAAGAGAAAAAATACATAATATCAGTCGTCTTATATAGCAGTGAATGCTGGATGATCTCAAAGATGAAGAGACTTGAAGCATCAGAATGTGGATCTACAGGAAAATGCTGAGAATATCATGTACTGAACAGGTGAGCAAAAAACAAAGAAAATCTAAACAAAAAGGAACATTATACTTCACATCAGAAAGAGTCAAAATTTCTAGGGTTCATGAGGAAAGAGGACCTGGAAAGTTTGATACTCACAGGACAGATTGAAGACGAGGGACAAATTAAAACAACGTGTAACCTACCTAGCAAGCTTGAGTAGATGGACATCAGAATTAAGAGCTACAAAGGACAGAAAATTGAGTAGAGCTATGATTGCCAATATCATCATAGGACAGGGTACTACAAGAATATGTACAATTCAGGCACCTAAGCCCGAAAGAACATTTTTCAATTGGAGAATTTCCATTTTGTGCATAATCCCAAATTCTGATAAGGTTATTTTTTTGCTTATTATTATACATATGAATGATGCTTAAAACATACTATTTAATTAATCATTAAATTGACAACTTCACTTTTCAATAGAGTCCAAAAAACATCTCCACGTCCTTGTGGATGATGAATTAATTTCCACTCTACAACTCCTTTCCCTCAGAGAAAACACTGTAATAATAATCTTTTACAATTTATGATTTTTACTTATTGAATACAGTAAAAAAATTGGACACCATGTGTATTTAAAGTAGTTTCCCGTTCCGGTTATTATTTTTAGTTAGGACTTGTGTATGTTTAGATTTCATTATCTTTCCCTAAAGACAAAGAATTTATCCGATGTTTGTATTCGTACAATCAGTAGAGATCGTTAGATTATCGTTTAAGGTTGACGGACATGCATGTCTTAATTAGTTTTTTTATTTTTTTTTATTTTTTATGAATTGGTCAAACCCAAACTCAAACAAAAACATTGTTTTCAATCGTTATGAGTCTACAGTCTACTGATTGAATAGAATTTTATTATAAATAATTGTCTTGTAAATGGAATTTTTAAAGCATTCTGAATGTTAAAAATAAAAAAAGTGTGCAAGAGAATAAGAAACACTACCTGCCAAAAAAAAAAAAAAAAAAAAAAAAAAAAGTGAAGTTTTGTTTTTTATCGGCTGAAAAATATAGGAAATCCAATCCCATATTTAAAGTAACCCCCACACAAAAACAACCCGATGTGAGTTGTCCCCTTCCATTTTCACGATGTCTCTTAATCGTGTTTTCAAATTGATTTTGTGCAAAACAATATTTTTCCCCATTTTTGGCGCTTGTTAGAACCACCACAAGGTAATTTTATGTAGTCCTGTGAAGTTTTGTTGAAATCGGTTGAAAATGTAGAAATCCGATCCAATATATAAACGTTACAGACACACACACACACACACACAATCTGCGTTTTATAATAAGTAAGATTCCACTAGTTCTCACCATCATATCTAAAACCTGCCATGCCATACACATTGTCTTTGCATTCCATTGGTGAGATGTAAATTCCACTTGTTCAGCTTCTCACCAACTGCCACTTTGAATGTTACAGTCTTAACCTGTTTAAGTCTAGGGTCAACCATTATCTACGAAACATATCCCTAAAAACTATGCCTCTTACTCTAAAGTACCCTCTAACCTCAAATGGATCTTGAGCCTTGTACAGGGTAAATATCATTAAAAAAAATAAAAAATAAAGCGAAAGAAATCTTAGCAATTTATTTATGTTTTATATATTTTTACATTGATGCTAACTCTGTACAAGGGCTCAAGAACTACTCAAGAGTTTACAGACAAAGAGGCAGAGTTTATGGGAATATATTGAGAAGATAACAGTTAACCCAAGACTTGAACTGATTAAGATTGTAGTAATCGGAAAAGCATCCTCTTTGCAGTCAGTTCCACAATACAGCACTTTGTGGAAAAAAGCTGTAAAAGTGGAACTTGCATTGCACTAATGGAATACAAAGGGAAGGAGAGTGGTTTGTTACACTGTGTGTGGCATGCCACATCTTAGAAGGCAAGAATTGGTGAAATATGTAGTGCATCTGAACACTTTCCATGGAAATAATGATAGAACAGGGACAGGCTTGCAACGTTTCATAGCATTAAAAAAAATAAATAAATAAATAAAAAATAATAATTGTACCATTTTTGGTTAGCAATATCTTCTATGTAGAAGTGTATTTGTGTGGTGGGGGATGCAGATGTAAGCTGCAAACACAAAAGGAATTTTTTACAAAACAAGACACTAAATGCATTAGTTGGACACCATAATGAGTGACTTCAATATCAATTTTAAAATGCTACTTTAATGAAAGGGGAAAATAATTTACTAACATGGAAATGTATAGAAAGTGATTTAATTGCTAGATCATCAGCATTTAGTTAATCAAGGGAAGGAAGGTGGTGTTGAAATCACAGGAAAAACTGCTCATATCACTTATTTTGCAACTTCACTCACAATTGGACATAATTTTCTTGCCTCAACTTAGAATCATTCAATATCACTTTTTTTTTTTAGCTATAGAATCCACACATGTTTGCTGTTTGATTTGTATCTTTGGCTGATTTACTAATTAGAAACTAGAAAGTAGCAGAGCTGAATGAACAGGATATTCCAGAAATAAACTTGGACTTTAAAAAGCAGTGTTTAATATCTCAGACAGCAGGCCTCAAACTTCTGAACATATGATGTCCTAGAGTTGTTCTGCAATTTATCAATGCATGCACCCTCCTCAAAGTATCTTCCCCAAAGAAAATAAGGTGGAATCAAATTAAAGACCAGTGACTCTAAAATTTCAGAATTTCATGAAATTATTCAGTAAGCAAAAAGTTTTGATAAAACAAAATAAAACTCCAAGATTTTGGTCCTTAGTTCAGTTGTGAATTTCTCAGGGATAATTTTCCTATGTTAATCAAACTTCTGAAAAAAAAAAAAAAATTTTAAAAAATATGTCACACTATGGCATTTTTAAATACCCAAGTGACTTTTGAGACACCCTGTATAAACAAAATTGACAATGTCAGTAATAAAAAAAAAAAAAATAAATAAAAATAAATTTCAGCCCTGTTGTGTCAATTTCTCAGACTTAGTAACCCAGAAAGTCAGGGGTTTTGTGCTTACCACATGAACAGGGTATCCCTACTTGCCCTTAGAAAATGCAGATTCAATGCAATTCCTTTAAACAATTAAAGAAACTGGACATATTTTCTAAGACTGAAATCTGTCATTCTAGTAGTTAGTCACAAGAAACACTAAAGTTTATTAGATTAACTCTTTTACAATGTAGACCATTTATGGTCAATTCCAAATTGAGAGAAAAAGAGTATACGACCACCACTGACAAGAGCAGCATACTGTCAACTTTCCTTAATATTTGTACACAGTTGATCCTGATGTTTAAGTAAGCTTTGCTCAAAACCTATGTATAAATGGACAGGACAGGTGCCAGCTCCTGCACTCTGACACTGTTTTCTCAGGAAGAAAAGGGGATGCTGCATCACATCAGATTGTCTTTGAGTTTGTTTTTAAAGCCCTAGAGCAGCCTTCCAACTGACCTGCTTGATAGAAGCTTTCTAAAGAGGAGTTGTTCAGGAAGCTCATACAAGAAAGATGTACTGCCCATCTGAGTTGGATTTTCATGTGGATTTGCTTCAATACTTGTCATGCTGCATTTAATCAGAACTTTGCTGTTTCTAATGTTATCGCTCCATTTTAGGTTGCAGATGGTACATAGGTAACACATGTGGAAAGTATGGAGTTGATTGAGGTATTGCTGACACAGAGTTCAATATTCTGCATCATAGAGCAGGGATGTCAGTACTACTGACTTGTACGCATCGATTTTCACCTTCAACAAAACATCACGGGTATCCCAAAGTCTGTAGTAAAGGTTACCAAAGGCAGAACAAGCCTTTCCCATCCTGCACTTAATTTCTTTGTCAATCTTAGCATCATTTGATACAATGGAGCCAAGAAAGGCCAAAGAAGAAACTGTTTTCAAGGCTTTTTCATCAGTATAAACAATGGGATGGATATATATATATATATATATATATATATATATATATATATATATATATATATACACACACCTGGATGGGGTATAGCATCCCTAATAGGAGATATGATGCAAGCTTTTCAGCTTTTACAAAAGAACTTAAGCCATGGTTGCAAATTCAAACTTGACCCATATGGGCGGAAGTTATAAATTTAAGTAACAATAAATTTTCACTCAATACATTCAGGGTATTAAATAAAGGACTAAGCTTTTGCCCTAGTCCCCCAAGGTTTGATAAAGACACCTTGACAAAGGGCCTGAAATCCTTCTTCAGAAGAATACGGTTAAAAGCCCACTACGGGGACAATGATCACACACCTTCCAGAGAGACTGTTTGACCAACACAAGGAATGTTAAAAGATTCATGTTAAAAAGATAAAAAAAACAAATGAAAACTACATTTTCTCCATCAAGACATTCATTTCTATAGTTTACTGCACCAGCAAGCAGAAATATTTTTTTCTCCTGATGATGGCCATTTTGGCCGAAACTAGTCGAGGAATCTAAATAAATAATAATAAAAAAAAATGAAAGAATATTAATCTACAACCCAGTTTGTATAAAGATTTTAATTTTTTAATATTTTTATATTGCTCAAAAAATTATATATATATATATATATATATATATATATATATATATATATATATATATATATATATATATATATATATATTTTTTTTATGTTTAACGTTATTTTTTTTTATAGATACAAGTATACTTGTATCTATAAAATAACAAACATAAACAAAAAAAAAAAAAAAAAAGTCTAATAAATAAATTGTCGGACCTTGTCCATTTCTTAACATATATATATATATATATATATATATATATGACACACAGAGTCTGCCAAAAAATATATACACATTTCAGGAAAGAAAAAAAAAAAACTTGTTTTTCATAGTTTTATCA